GCCTACTTGATAAATAGGGAACACATTTGCTGGGAGATGTGATGCTGATGGTAATGTCTTTTTGCTTTAAAGCATGTTGAAAGGACCTGCTACTGCTTTACGAGGTAACAAACTAAACACATTTGCTGACTGATTCATTACTTGCGGAAAAAAACAAGGGCCCTGGAAGCCATCTGCCCGAACCCTAAAGAAAAGAGAAAAACAAGAGGTAACCCAAGCCCACCAACACGGCCGTATTTACCCATCCTGCCTGCACAAACATGCAGATGGTAGCAGTGATGGATTAGGCCGGGGTTATCCCAGTCAGCCAGTGCACTGATAACAGGGTGAGTGCTCTCGGGCAGGGCAGATGTGGATGTTCAAGTGATGAAAGTGACGTCCAAAATGTGGCGGGGTTCCTCCCCCTCTTTTTTTTTTTTTTTTTGAACATGCCTCAAAGGATTAGGTATCTGGTTTCTCCTCCTGCTCCTAATCTGGACCTGAGGGGACGATTGTCACTTTCCTGAACAGTTCGTAGTGATTTTGTCTGCGGCACCTGCAAAGCCAGGTTAACGCCAGGGATTAAAGCCAGGCACTTAGAGTGGGAGGGCCTGGATTAGAGATGCCGTCGTAAATTCCTTTGTGAAAGTTCTCAGGGCGTAACTTGGGTGTGAGAAGTTCGCAATATTTGAGGAGAGACATCTTTGCTTTCTGAGGACTGACGGGTGACGGGGGGGAGCTGTGGGTGGTCAGGAAACCTTTGTACCACTTGGGCTACCTTTCGTTCCCCTCGTGAACCGGTGATGAAGAGGGTGCTGAGTTTGATGGGACGAAGAGCTTGGTGAGATGGGTCATTAAGTCCTTACACAGGTGAGGACAGCGTAGGAGGCTGAAGGTGACGGAGACTGATGGGCTCAGGCCTCAATGACTTCTTCTCTATGTGGATAATTGTTGGTCATTATTAATCTGTTGGTTTGTTTTATAATTTATCGGTAACAAAGAATCCAACTGGAAACTGGCTCAATGCCCCATCTGAGACGATGGGGAGTCTTTGCCTCAGCATCTTGTTCATGAGAGATGGCGCTGGCGGTGGATCAACGGATCGGGGCCTTGTCTTCAGTAATGAAGACGTTGCTCCAGTCATTCATGGTGTAAAAGAGCTATCGAAAAGCAAAGCTTTTGATTTCCTGATCTATGTTCCAACCCTCACCTTTGCTCATGAGGTTTGGATCATGACCAAGATCCTGGACACAAGTGACTGAAATGGGCTTCCATCATAGGATGTCCAGGCTCAGCCTTAGCGAGAGCTTGAGAAGCTCCGTCACCCAGGGGGAGCTCAGCGTAGAGCCGCTGCTCTTCCACATTGAAAGGGATGAGTTGAGGTGGTTCAGGTATCTGATTAGGAATCCTCCTGGACACTTTGCTTTGTAGGTTTTCTTGGCACGTCCCTCTGGTATGAAGCCCAGGATCAGACCCAGAACTCAGAGGAGGGATTATAGATCTTCTCAGGCCTGGGAACAGAGATGAGTGTCACTGAGGAGAGGGAGGTCTGGTTTTCTCTACTGGACCCACTGCTTCTGCAACCAGACTATGGATAAATGGAAGAAAATGGAAATGGAGGAAAAATAAATCCAAGACAAAGGAGGTTAATAAGGTCAATGTTAGTTGCCCATGTCTGTCTGTCAGCAAAATATCTCAAATCACTTGACAAATTTTAGTAAATCTTGCAGAAAATAATCACTACATAGTAATCTTTTTTTTTTTTTGAAGGGTTGCAGCTCTTTCCTTTAAGTTCTACCAGCCCAGTACTCTCCATTCATCAGCGCAACAAGAAACCCACTTTAACTGCATCTAACAAGGCTGAGTCAGGTCCTCTGGTCGGGTTCTTTGTTCATCAACAAAGAACACGTCCAGAGGACCTGGCTCAGCCTTGTTAGGCTCATCTACCTGGATTATTCAGGACACTTTAGCTGCACCTATTTACTTTAGAAGACGCTTAAAAAAAGTAGTTTCTTAAATTACGATTCCAGGACACACGAGTGCAATAATGATGGTTTTATTGCAAAGAAAACAAGAAAAGATCTATCACCCGTCCGTCTCTGCTTCCTGTGAGACGTCAATCGTTCAAACAACACCATACAAAATAATTGGTCAAACTGGAGAACAGACACAAAAAGGCGTTGAAAACAGTTTCGCCTTTAATTCACCAGCACCCTGTGGAAGCTCAAAGGATAAACTAATATTCTGTGAAAATTACAGACCTCATACAAAAAATAAGATTTATTTTTATTATAATAATATAAAAGCCAGCATATTTACAGGACAATATTTTCTATAAGTCTGGCTTGACTAAATTCCCAGTGAAACGTTCCTTTTTATTAAAGTTTTCTCAGTAACCAACTTGTTACACGTGTCCTTTAAAAGTCTATAAGGCGTGATAATCAACCTTTAGTCTAGTCAGATGCTTTGAAAACAGCAACTCTTAAATACGAAGCTGGAATAGACATCAGAGCACGTCTGCCCGTGCTCTTAATAATTAATATCCTTTGCAATAACGCTTTCAGTAACCATCAGCTTTTAAAGTTTCTGTGCACCGATCAGCCCATTTAAGGCACCGGCTATTCAGTAGGGAGGTCCAGAACAAACAGAACATGAAGGAAAAGAGAAAACAAAATTATGAATTCCGCTCTAATGCTATCCAAAGTATGTACACGTAAATAAACATTAATGACAGAAAATAATAAAGCGTCGTTGGCATCAAATAACTGTACATGCAACCAGATGGTCAGCAACAGACCCAAACTTTAACAAAAAAACATTCATCGCATAAGGTTGGTTTCGATTTCATCCAAAATAAAGGCTTTAGAGCAACTTTACCGAATAAGATGCTGAAGATAAAAACGATGAAAAAGGAAATGTGCACGCAGACACGGACGTGCCATATATCACTGGGTACGAGCCCTTCTGCTGCCAAGCGTGATATAAAAGCCGAGGGTTTGAGGTGAGGACCGCTCTCTTTGGATGTGGGCTGCAGCGGCAGATGTGAGGCGGCGCTGCGACGACAGCAAGCCCAAGAGATTAAAGCGTTTTATTCTAAGACGTCTAAAACTTCGACCTGGCACGAGAAGACGAGGGTGGAGAAGCACACCCAAACGTATTAAAAAAAAAACACTGCAATAATATTTTTTGTAAAAAAAAAGACAAAGTATAGACGACTCTGCCTTTTTAACACATGGAAGGTCAAAACACCCCAACTGACTAATGGAGGACGCTTCCAAAAAACCCCTGCCTTGATCCGTGTCGTTCCTGAAGAAACGAAACGGAGGAGAAGTGTGAGTTGAAATGAAGCATGGAGAGATGAGATCATTGATGATGTCAACTCCTTTTGTTTTTTCTTAATTTCACAGGATTTGTTGTTTATGAAAATAAAAAAAAAGAAGAAGAAATGTTTCTATCCCTCGGGGAGGCATTAAACATTCAGCTGTGACCCACGCGGTTCTGAACCTTTTTTTCACTGGTGGATTGAGTTTCTTGTTTCCACGATCGCTGCCGATCCTCAGAGGAGCCAAACCTCAACATCACAGCCGGTTCGGCGGTGACGTCAGCTGCTCACACTGTTTCCGAGCGATTGGAGCAACAGAATAAAAAAATAAAATAAAATAAATAAAAACTGAAGGATGGCTCATTTGTTGCTCAAACACCATCTTAAAGCTCGACGACGGGCTGCAGAGAAACGGTTGGTGGTTCCTGCAGCCACATAAAGCCAGATGATGACAGCTGTTGGAGCCACATCTGGTTTTCATAATCAGTTACTTTGATCTCAGGTTGATAAAACCTAGAAGGACCGATCTGTGTCGTTCTCGGAGGCAGAAATAAAAAAAATGCTCAGGACACAAAGTGGGGAAGACGGCAGTGAAGCCTGTTATCAGGGTTAGAGAGGAGAAGGCCGAGGTCTGGCTGCTGGTTTTAAAGTTGGCTGAAGATGGTAATAACAGAGCTGAGCTCTTACTGGCCCAACTGGGACTGAAATTAAATTGTTTTAATGACGATACCAGTGAATATGGTTCGAGTGGTTAATCAAACCCAAGCACAGTTTAGGATGGACATGCCATTACTGTGCCTGATTTAGTTTTTTCCACTACAGAGCGTCCAGTGCTAGACCAGGACTGGCCTTACCTGGTTCTGGTTAAGAACCTGGTCGGCCAACACGGACCATTGCGTCATACTAAACGCCTCTTCCAGAGTAGTCCTGCTGTTAGTCCGAGTCTCTGCAGAGGATCTCAGAGTCTGAGCGTCGTTATTCCTGTAAATAAATCTGTTTTAAACACCAGTCTGAGTCTGACATTTCTGATCTGCAGCATCTCTCAACATCAGGCAGAGTATTTTATCTTAATTAAACAGAGTAAAACAGAAGCTAACTTCATATTTTTAAACCTGGCATTGGTTGTTTGTCTCCATGAACCCTCATCCTGCTCGTAATAAGTGCTTTACCTGCAACTATTTACGTGTAAACTGTGGAGAAGTGGTTAGCATTGATTGCAATCAGATTTCTGATTCTGCCTGGGTTTGGACTATCAAACAATGAACCGTAGGAGTTCTTTTAAGGCATTAATACTGAATGGTAACATTGAGGAAATGGATAAACTGGGTTTACTTTTGTGCTACTCCTTTCCAACACACCAGCTTTGTCTGGGGTTTTGAATGAAGTCACTAAATTTGGGCAAATGTGGAAAATGGAAGCTCTTGCACAGCAGAAAATGATAAAGTGCTGTCAGACTGGAACCTACAATTCTGTTCGACGACAAAAACAAAACTCACTACCTGCACTTTTTATATCAGCTTCTGTAGGAAATGACAAGAGGAAGAAACTGCAGTGAACCTTTATGTAAAGACCTGCCGGCATTAAGCTGCACAAACTGTCAAGATAAGCATTTTTACAAAATCCTGCAGATGTTTGAAAATATTTCTGAGTAATGTGCGTTTGAGTCAAGCCTCAGTTACAGAATTATTTCAATCAACTCTTTTTTTTTTTTTTTTTAAAGCAGCCCAGGTTTGTGGAGTTACTTAGAAATACTTCAAGTTTTAATGAATTATTTCTTTTGGTAACATTTTGTGTTGAAATGTTGGGATATGTTTAGGAACAGCTGAGTGTAAAAGTGCTTTCCACAAGGCGTGGTCTCTGAAGTGACGAGTTCACTGTTTCAGAGAGTTTGCAAAAGGACAAATGTAGTAAAGTGTTCAAACTGAGCTGTGTTTGTGTGTAATGTACTCCCATCACTGTTTTTCCCTTGGTACAACGCCGGTGCAGTTCTCCCTTTTAATCGCGTGACTTTCCCTTTCTCGTAGTGTTATTATTTATTTTAAAAGCATGCAGTTTAATTTGCTTTAAATGCTGATTGCAGTCTTGTTAAACATTTCACCTGAGTGAAAATGCACAAAGCAATCAAGAGCCCATTTCTCTAAATGCCACAGACGTTGAGTTTTTTTTAAGCGCAGAGCTCAGTCAGGGGTAGAAATACTTCACCAACAAGGGTCTGAACGTCTGACCTCTGACCTGGGAAAACGACAGGTGCAAACACAAACAAGCAGAACACAAAACCCTATTCACATCAGTCGAAACTTCAGAGTACGCCCGAGCAAAATCAGATAATATCTCTGAGGTTTTCCAGCTTATTTGCAGCTCTTTGCTACAAAATTGTAATACAATCCACAAAAAATATCTTTAAGGTTAAGTGGTTACAATCAAGGCAGAGCTGGATTACTCAAAGACCTCGCTGTGAAACTGAATTCAGATATGATCTTTAACAGAAATACCACACCCTTTGAAGAGTTATCTGTCACTTGTTGACTCGCTCTCGGTCACATGTCCATTGTTTTGTTTGCGTCCTCCCTCAAACGTACCACTCTCTGCGTGAAATCACAGATCCGTCCATGTGTGACACGTAGTCGCTGTCTGTACCATTGTCATAGCTGTCGTCCGGGAGGTAGGGGGATCCGTTGTTCACAACGGGGCTGTGTACAGGAGGCCCACAGGGGTGCATGTTTTGGGTGTTGTAGTGATCTGTGAAGTAGTTTCCATCCTTGATGCCCCTGTGTACATCTCCCCTGTCGGCCCAGTCTTCCCTGTCCTTGCGTTCAGGGGTGTAGTCGGGGTAAATAATGTCACCGCCCAGTTTGGGCTTCAGCTCCTGGCTGCCTTTGCTCACTTTGTCCCCGTAAACCTCCTGCAGCTCGTGCGGCTGCAGCACGTCCACCTGAGACTCCTTCTGCATGTCGGAGGGTCCCAGGTACTGTTTGGTGTAGTAGTCTCCTCTGAAGGTTCTGCGTTGGCGCATGAAGCAGACCCCGCCAAGGATCAACAGCAGGATCAGGAAGAGAACGCCACCCACTGCCCCGCCCACTATAGTGCCCAGGCTGCTGTCGGAGATGGAGGCCAGGGTGGGGGAGGTGAACAGGGCTCTCTTCCGGCCCAGGTCAGTGTCCGTTCCGGAGGTGTCGTGGAGGAGGGAAGCGGTGGTGCTGGGCGCTGCAGTGGTGGGGGGAGGATCTGTAGAACAAATGTGATTAAATGGTTTAAAGCAGACAGCAAATGTAGTGAAGAGCTGTAAGACTGATAAAAAAAAAAAAACGTTCTGCAAATTTACTTCATTAATGAAATTTTTACACTCAGTGGAGGAATCTGTGTTGGAGCATAACGTCTCTCCTAAAGCTGTAAAACATCTGCTGAAAGCTGCGCAAAAGAAAAGAGACAAGAACTAGAAGAAAGAGCTGAAGTGCTAAATGTCAGAGTGAGTGTAAAAAAGAGACACAAGAGGGCATGTACTCATGAGCGTCGGGAGTTTGATTAACTTTACCCCCTTTATCCTAAACCTGGCTTTGTGGAAGACGTGTGAGAAGATGAAACGCCGTGATCGATGTGAGGTTCCTGCAACTGATGTGCCCTTCAGCGTCCAGCTCTTTGATAGCAGCCAGAGATGGAGAGGCGCAGGCTGCTTGGAGCTCAAGGCCAAGATAAGCGCCTCCACGCTGACCTGCAGGCTGCAGGATGGAGAACAGCCTGATAACACTATCCAGTGACTTTACAGACGGGTCACAAAGCCGGACTACAAAGAGGTGTGGTCCAAATCATCCATTACTTTTAGAAATCCTAAATTTGTTAAGGGCTAAAATTATGGATTTAGAAATAATCTAATTAATTGGGATTATGCTACACATTTCAGACTGAAGGTTCAGGAAAACAGCAAAGGCATGAGTGAAAGTAAACTAAGGTGAAAGCTGGTAAACTAATGAGCTCCACCCACCCCCACCACCGCCGCAGGACATTCAAACCCAACGTGGGGAATGAGAATCTACAACCAGTGGATGATCACTGGAAAGACTAGCAGTCCAAAATGACAAGGCTGAGGAGACGTCAAGGAATGTGAAATGGCTACATCTGGCTGACATGAGGGGAGGGTGGGGGGCATTACTGAACTCAACCTGGTCATCTCTACAGGGAAGGGAGGCAAGAGGATGCATGCCCAAGACTCAATATTTGACAAGAGAAACAAGATAATTGCTCAGTGCAAGTCCACTCTGGACAGGATGTCAGCTGGGCTTTCATTTGAAGAACAGCTCCTGAACACCGATGGGTCTGTTTTAAGACTCCAGCAGCTCTTTCTACTCAGCAGAGAGAAAATAACTGAGGGTTAAATGGGGCACATGTACCTAAAAGAAGCATTTACTTAGTTTGGGAAAGGAGCATAGAAGGAATTAAAAAAAGAGGTGCAGAGTTCTCAGGATCCACGCCCTGGCTTCATAAAAACGAAGCCGACCAGCCAAACAAGGACACGCACAGGAAGCAGACAGGAGTTCAACTTGCTGGATGCTTTATTTCAGGATTTACACCAATTAATCAACAAGATCAGATGTAAATGCATGGAAAGTCTGTTTGATGAACGAGCGAGTCGCCTTATATTATTTCAATACTTAATCTTTCGGTTGTTGAATTAAGCTAAATAATTTGATCCCTGTGAGCACCGCTGCTGTTAGACAACAAAGTGCTGAATAACACATTTTTTCTGGGTTATAAACAGACATCTGCCTGCTGCAAATCTGTGAACACAACTCTTTATGTTTCACTGTGTAACCCAACCTTAAAGCACAGTAAAAAGGCGGCAGGGGTGCAAACTGTGCTGAACCAGCAAAGAGTAAATACCTTCGTCCTTATCTGAGACATCTAATGTTGCCAAAACCACACCGATGGAATGATTTGGTACTGATTCTCTTTATCTGCACTCTGTGCTCCTGCTGCCAGGAATGTGTGAAAGTAGATCTGGGCAGGGACATCTGTATTTGTATAAAGGCTTAACGTCTTTAATATTTTTTTTTTTCATTTAGCCTTTATTTATCCAGGTTAGTCTCATTGAGCCACGAGAACTCATTTTCAAGAGAGACCTGTTTAGGGAGCACATGGTGGGGGTTAAGGGCCTTGCTCATGGGCCCAGAGTGGGGCGAATGAGGGTGGGGGCAAGTGTGGGTGTTTCACCTACCCCACCCACAATTTTGATGTTGTCGGGGCCGGGGCGTGAACCGGCGATCTTCGGATCACAGGCCCACCTCTCTAACCTCTGCGCCACCACTCCCCCCTATATTGTTGAATATTGTTGATCTACGGCCAGAATTAACTGAAAATTGGATCTTTTATGAGAAAAAGTTCTCGAAAGCAAAAGAAACGTGCTCTTTGTTACACTGATTGTTAAAGCTCAGTAATTTAACTCAGCAGATGGTTAAAGTGTAGTAAAACTTTACAAACGATGTTGGGGGGGGGGGGGGTGTCAAAAGTACCTTGAACCCAGAAATTCACGTCCCGACTGCGCAGACCAACGTCGTTCGTCACTTCACAGCGATAGATGGCAGAATCATTGCGCTGCAGCCGGTGGGTGAAAGTAAGGCTGGCGTTGGAGATCACAACCCCATCAGGAACTGATCCATCCAACCTGAACGAGAATCAGACAGGAAATGTTTTGGTTTTCAGCAAATGAAGAACAGAGAAACAAAAAAAGTGCTGAAAACGACACATTATTTTAGACCTCTGAACAATTGCCAACGTCATTAGAGAAAGAGCAACCGTTAACACCTGTAGGGTAGAGCTGTCATTTCTATGGGGGTTTCATATGGGGGGTTCGGACCTGTAATTATTGTTAATTCGTTGGGTCGGGTGGGGATTGGAAATGATGGCTATGGGCTGGGGCCTGGTCAAGTTGGATTTTTTGGGCCCGGATGAAACTTCACTTTAGGGGTCACAGCTACTTGATTCAATGAACCGTGCGTGGGGTGAGATAAGTGTGTGTCCTGCGGATGAAGGTTGTTTTTGTAATCTGGACGAGTCTCTCGAACCCAGCCTAAGTGTGTTTAACTGTAGTTCTCTCTGGGTAATATTCAGGGTATTCTAATTACCCCAATTTGGACGAAGGGCTGGAGGGTGAAACATCCGGGATGAAGACGACGCCTGTCAACAAAGTCTATAGCAATGGTTTAGACATGCAAATAACTTTTATAACATTTGATCTTGTTCTATTTCATATAGGCTTCGCCCTTTAAGGCTGTCGCTGATGGGTTTATCCCGTTATGCAGAGCATAAGCACTGAAAAAATTTAGTCCACGCCCACCTGCTGTGTGGGCCCCACTCGGTCCGTATAAATTACGTTAAGAGCGGGAAATCGGCTCCCATTTTTTCTTCAGCGAGCTAATATAGCACTGTCAGAAGAACAAAGAGGATAAATTGTGTAAATGACCAACCTTTGTGAAGGATGCTTGGCCCGGCAGTCGACCTCCGGTCGTCCGGTGAGTTCTCCTCCCCGAGGAGAAGATGACGAGCAGTCTTATTCCAAGGTAAGCGCCAGGGAACATTTCCCAGTGACAGGTCACTACACGCTGGACAACGCCATGTTGTATTTTTTCCTCTTATCGCCGACCCTCGGGGCGAACCGGATGGTTCCCCCGGGGCAAGGCGTGCTCAGCTGCAGCCCCCGCTGCTCATTCCCTCCTGGGGAGCGTAGTGGAGGGGGGCTGAGTGAATGCTCACCCCATCCCACCTCGTTTCGCATCGGCGATCACACCGCTCCCGGCCGACAGCGCCCTCTCGGTTGCCCGGCGGAACCCAGGAGGAGGCTGACATGAAGGGACCCCTTTTTTCTACGTCCCTCGCCTTTTCCCGCCAGTTCGGATGATCGGCGGGAAGGTTGTTTTTCACTGGGCTCCACTGTGGCTCACCGTCTTGATCCATACGGCCTCGCGTTCCAACAGGACGTTCGACGGGCGAGGCCACAGACGGTTCTTTCCTGGTAGATTGTAGGAGTCGGTCCCCAGTCCGCTCCCATCACCAGAGTTGAGGGATTCACCGAGCGGGGCTATTCCTCGGTAACCCCCCTGGAGCCAAGCCTCGCGGAAGCTTCCGGTGCGAAGCTGCCCAGGTCGGAGCAGCGTCCCGTCCCTCCGGAGGAACACGAACCAGACGGCGACCACGCTCTCCAATCGAGCCCACCGATGTGTTTTCAGGCAGCCGCAGTTAGCAACAAACGTGCGCTGCTAGCATATAGCATGTCCGAGGGACTGAAGGCCGCAGACCTGCCTTGGAGACAAAGAACTCCCTCTGTAAGGCAGCTGACGCCAGCTCAACATATGTGCCTCTCCTACGGTTTGCCTGTCGAGGACAGCAGCGCGGATGACGATGATCCAACGATCCACCTGGCTTCGTTACTCCCCTCGCTGCCGGAGAAACTGCACAAGACCTGATGAAGCCCATCGCGGACGCACTGTTCAGAGCAGCTTCAAACCATGCTGGCGAATTGAAACAGTCGGAGGAGGTGCCAGAGGCTGTGCGCCACCTCATCAAGCCGCGCGGCCCACCCCGGCCCGCTGGAGGGACCGTCGCGAGCAAGCTTCGACTTTTCCACGGCCGCAGCTCTCGCTGAGTTCCACCACCAGCCCCGCCCGTCAGAATCCAGCCCTCTTCACTCCGGCAACCTGCAGCTCAGCGTTTCCCCAGAGTTCGCCTGCAAGACAGCGCTCTGGGCAAACAATCGCAGAGCTCATGAGAGAGAAGTTTCTCAAAATGACGGTCTCCGGAGGGTGTGTGTAAAAGTGACACGAAAGTTGAAATAAATCATCATTAATGATCAAAGTGTCTGTTTTTTAGCCAGTCTGTAAGCCCGGATGAGCTCACAGCGGCCGCACACATTAAGAGCCGGTGTCCTTAATAAGGTTTTTTAAACTCACCGCCGCTCCAAGACATTACTAGTCGCTTACAGGGCACGATGGTAAGTGAAAATAACTCGTTATAATCCCGAGCTGCACGATTTTCACTCAAGCGATGTCAACTCGCACTTGTGGGATGAAACAGCCCCACACACGAGCCGGTGTCCTTAAGGTTTTTAAACTCACCGTCGCTCTAAGACATGATGAGTCGATCACAGAACAGCCTCCACACATGAGCCGGTGTCCTTAATTAAAGGTTTTTAAACTCGCCGTCGCTCTAGACATGACGAGTCGATCACGGCACAACGGTAAGCGAAAATAACTCGTTATCAACTAGAACTGCACGATCCTCACTCAAGCGGTGTCAACTCGCACTCGTGGGATGGAACAGCCTCCCCACATGAGCCGGTGTCCTTAAATAAGGTTTTTAACTCACCGCCGCTCTAGACATGACGAGTCGATCACTAAGATGAACAGCCTCCATCCAACGGCGCTGCGTTGATGCTGGCGCACACACACAGCTGCCGGCGCTACCAGCTCACATCGGTATAAATGTGGTCCGCAGGCTGGTTCGGGTGGAGGTCCTTCTCTCTCACAAGAAACGACACCCGTCTCAACGAATCAAACGCGGGCAGCCGTCACCCACCGCGTCTCAGCTTTTGGCAGCTCACCGCAGCTTAAACGTGAAGCAGCTGAAAGAACCCGGTAATGAGTCCCGCCTCCCTCCAGCGCACGCCCCTCCAGCGAGAGCGGCGCGCGTCCCTCCAGAGAAAAACGTGTGCTCCCGCGGGGCTAGCAGCCTTCACTCCAACAGCACGGCGTTAATGAAGTCACGCCCTCCGCCTTTTCAACGTTCGCACAGCGACGTCAAACGCGCAGCCCCACCACGTCATCAGCTGTCACACGCTTTGCCTTCAGCACAAGTCTCTCCCTGGATCACACAGAAAACATTCCCGCGACGCATGACGGCGGTTGAGGGGCGGACTGCTGACAGCCGTACAAAACATGACACATCACTTAACGCACGTTCACCCTACGAACGTTACGTAGAGTGGCTAAAACATGCTCGCCGTTTTTTCAGATGGATGGACAAGGTTTTATGCAAATGGTACAAGTTAGTTTGCAACCCGAACCCCTCCATTCAGAGGAGTTATAAAAACGGTCCCGTCATAATCAGACTAAATCTCATCCCTAAATGCAGAAATCCAAGTGTTTCTGATAAAAGTAATCTACAGAGTCCCCCAACGGAGAGAAAACACAGGGTTTTTACTCACGGACCGGAGGGGTGAGACCGTTTTTTGGATCTGTTGTACAACATCCAGAGAACGCATACCGATCATCCTAACACAGAGACGAGAGTTTTTGTTTTACCTGGATGATCTGCTGCTCCTGTCACTCCAGACAGGAGGCGCTGATGCAGGATCAGGTGTTGACATCACACCTGTTAAATCTGGGCTTCGCCATAAATTGGAAGGAAGCTCGATTTTCCCGGCCCAGACATTTGTTTTTCTGGGAGTGGAATTAAATTCAACCACCATGAAGCTCGTTTATCACAAACTAGATTCGACACTTTTTTAAAGTCACTCACACAGTGGTTCCGCTGGTTTGTTTCACATGAGACGCCTCCAGAGGTGGTTTTGCACGTCTGCATGTGGATCCAGTAAAACAAAACGACGGATGATCATTGGCCCTTCCTCTGTGAGAGCAGACCTCCGACTCTGGGGAAACACCTTGTTTCTGTCAGAGGGAGTCCCCCTCAGCAGACCCACGTCACGGGTCAGTCTTCACGGACGCGTCGCTGTCAGGCTGGGGGGGGGGGGGGGGG